TCTGAACCTGCCACACAGCTGATGACCCAGGATTCCCGGAAGCCTGTCGTCTTTCTCTCCTTTTGGTAGAATACATCCTCCCGTAGCTTTCTGAAAAGATCTCTATTCTGCTTTTACTTGACTAGCTTCTGGCCGAGTATAAAACTCAAGACTGACACAGTCTTCAGCCTTCCAGCGTTGCCGTTAGGAAATTTTGTACCATTATCATTCCCAATCCTTGTGTGCACCTGTTGTTTTTCCCCCTTCTTTCCAGAAGATTGTACAATTTTCCCTTTATCCTTGGTATTGTGAAATATCACAATGAATGTTCAATTGGTGTTTTTAATTCCTTGCCGCTGGATACTCAAAGGGCATTTCAAGACTCATCCTTTACTTCAGGACAATTCTCTTTCTTTTTTCTATTTAAGTGAATTCCTTTTACCAGCTGCTTCTTTCTCTCTTTTTTTTCTAACCCCCACCAAAGGATATGTTTATTGATCTGAGAGAGAGAAAGAGAAACATCAGTTGCCTCCCTTACGCACCCCGACCAGGGATTGAACCCACAGCCTAGGTGTGTGCCCTGACTAGGGATCAAACCCGCAATGTTTTGCTGTACGGGATGATGTCCAACTAATTGAGCCACCCACCCAGGGCTCTTCTCTCTCTTTCTTGACTTCCTGTTATCCAGTATTGAATCTCTAATTTATCTTTTTGCTTATTCATCTTTTTGTCTTTCTGTTCTTTAAATATTCTGCTTCCTTTCTCCTGTTAATTTATTTCCTCCTGTTAATTTATTTTCAGAAACGTGTGGAAGCATTTGGCAGTTCATATTTAAGAGTGAGGTGCCCAAGAGCTGACTGGAGGCAGCTGTTCATTCTGGAGACTGTTAGGCTCGATCTGGCTGCCAGCTGGGTTTTTTCACTGGGGAACCCCCCTCTCCAAATCAGTTTCTATAGGTCTGTATTTTTACTCATTATCCTGAAGCAGGGCAGGGCAGGGGGTTTGAGGCTCACCATTCAGGAGGTCAACTCTTGCTCAATTTCCCATCCCTCCTGGGGTGAGGAACATAAGAGCCTCTCCATATTGTCAGCCCCCATCTCATTTCCCACAATTCCTCTAGTGCCTGAACTTGGGGTTCTCTGGGCCAGCCCTGCTTGCTTCCTATTATAACTTCCATAAGACCACAGCTGACCAGCACCCTCCAGCTGCTGCTGCCCAGCTCCTTGCTGGGATCTTGGCATCCCCTTCCGGTGTCATTTCCTGCCCCCAAACGCAGGTCAAGTCCCCAGCACCAGGAGACCACAGCAACAATTTCAGCCAAAGGTTCCTATCTTGGACTATATGGAACTGTGTGTGTTTTGTTAAGTTTTCCTCATCTGTGGGAAGTCTAGGGAATTTCCAGATCACTGTTAAACTGAAGCTGTGCAGTGGTGAATCCCATGAAGGCATAGAAGAAAAAAGTCTTGCCCTGGCTGGCGTAGCTCAGTGGATTGAGCGTGGGCTGCGAACCAAAGTGTCGCAGGTTCAATTCCCAGTCAGGGCACATGCCTGGGTTGCAGGCCATGACCCCCAGCAACCGCACATTGATGTTTCTCTCTATATATCTCATTGATGTTTCTCTCTCTCTCTCTCTCTATCTATCTCTATCTCCCCCCTTCCCTCTCTAAAAATAAAATAAATAAAAAATCTTTAAAAAAAAACTACTGAAAAATCAATTTAAAAAAGTCTTAACAGGCCAAAGGCTTTGTAGGGAGCATTTCCACCACACTGATCTGCAGCTTCCGTTCCTCACTGGCCCCAACTGAGTCAGAGTGGCTTTGTGGTCCCCGCACTCCCCGCCCCCCAGGCTTGGTGCCTCGTCAGCTGATTCCTGACCGCCGTCTACCCTCTGCAGCTGAAACACCCTCGAGGCGGCGCCACCTCTGCCATCACTTAGCAAATGGACTTTATTAGCACAGATGAGGATTTTAATCTTTAATTAAGTGCTCTAGCTATAAAACAAAAGGAAAGCAGAAGCTGTTTCTTTTTCTCTTTTAAGTGTAATTAAGGATTTAAAAATTACCAGGGCCCTTCTGGACATATAGCCCTAAGGATCGAAAGCCAGCTCAAAGAAAAGCTTGCACACCCATGTTCATGGCGGCATTGTTCACAACAGCCTAAAGGTGGAGCAGCCCAAGTGTCTGTGAACAAACACACTGCGGTATCTCCAAGCAATGGAATATTACTATATGATACGTAAAAAGGAAGGACACTCTGGCACATGCTGCAACAGCAAGGTGAACCTTGCCGACGTTACGCTCAGTGAAATAAGCCAGTCCCGAAGAGAAAAATGCTGTGTGATTCCACCTACATGAGGGACCTAGAGGAGACCAAGTCCTAGAGGCAGAAAGCGGGATGGCGGTGCCAGGGGCACCTGGGAGGGGAAATGAAGGGTTATTTCATGGTTTCAGAGTTTCAGTTTTGCAGGAAGAAGAGTTCTGGAGTTTGGTTGTGCAACAGTGTATATGCACTTAACACTGCTGAACTGTATGTACACTTAAACATGGTTAAGATGGTAAATTTTGTTATTTATATTTCACCACAATTTTTTTTTTTAAAGATCACTGGGTGCCCTGTCTGGGTTGCTTAGTTCACCAACCTTGTGGGTTCGATTCCCAGTCAGGGCACATGCAAGAATCAACCAATGATGCATAAATAAGTGGAACAATAAATTGATGTTTCTCTCTCTTTCATCCCCTTATGCTCCCTCTCTCTCTCTAAAAAAAATAAAAATTAAAAATAAATATTTTTTTAAAGTCACTGAGGGCTGGTGACTTTTAGAGGAACTTCCCAGAAACCGCTGGCCTCAAAGCTCTTTTTTTAAGACAACAGAATCCGCAGCTCTTAGGTTCCACTCTGATAGGGTCAGTTCCCTACTCTGTAGTGAACAAACCAACAAAAAGGCAAAGATGAGGGGAAGCAAGGAGATGAGGAGGTAAGGTGGTAAGCCTGGAGGATTAAGAAACAAAAAAGTGGTCCAATCTCTGAAGTCAGGACATCCCCCCTCAAAGAGAGAGGACCACTTTTCATTTATAATCTGCTCTGTTCATTGGCACATAGCCCTTGGTGTCACAGTTGAGGAAAATGGGGGAGGCCCAGACGGGGGAGGGGCAGGCACAGAGGGTTGGTTGCACAGCTGCCTGGTAGTAGAGCCCAAAGTGCAGCCCCCAGCTCTGTGTTTTAACTTACCCCCCTCCCCGCCCACCCCCCACTGCCCTCCAAGAAATGGGAACTGTGAACTTTAACCACCAGGCGATGAGAAGCAGGGCTGTCCGTTTCAGTATTATTGCCTCCCGGACAAGGAGAGCAAGATGAGGTGACAGCCTAGATGGCGCCTGAGTCAGCCTGGGACAACCCTGCAAGCAGGCAGAGCTTCCTGTCCTGTGTCTTCAGCATCCAGGATCCCCCTGAGCACCTGGAGCCCAACCTCGGGAACTCCTCCTTTGAGGTCAGAGATGCAGCTGGTTCCTCTCCCGGGGTTAACAGAGAGGCCTGTGCTTAACTTCCAGCAACAAATCCCACCTGTTGGAACGTCACTGCTCACAGCCCTCCTATGAGAGAGGAGATATCTCAGAGTTATTGACAGGCAGGGGCATTCTGGATGTCTTGATCATCTCCCAGCTGCGGTTTCATCATGCCTTGCCTTCTGCTTGTACATGTATTCAATATATTCTCATATCACCTTACCTTTTAATCTCATTTTTATTATACTTTATTGCATGCCTCATGTATTATATAACTTAGTATTATCCAGGGTGGGGAAAAAGTAGTTTTACAGTTGTGAGTGCACAAAGCAGAGTGTATTCTTGTAGTATTATTTATGCATTATTGTCCTATTTTCCATACAAATAACTGTAAACCTACTTTTGCCCTACCCTGTTAAATTATATCCTATTATGTATTAAAAGGAAACTTGATACCATGCCTATATATGGAAAACCAGATTCCCTTGCCATAAATAGAAGGCAACTATAAAAAGAAATATAATGACAACAAGACAGTTTTAAATTCTTGCTAGATTCCCCTGCCTGCTGAAGGCTTTGAACCTGAGGCCTGCCCTCTGTGGAAACGGGAACAGTCAGCAGATGTTCGTGAGGGATCACGTTACTGGGGCTTCAGAGACGATTCGGATTGAACAGCCTCTCACTGTTCCCTGGTGTTGGGTGGATCAGCTGGGTCTCCCCCCAGGACCCGGGGTCCTGTGCCTTAGAAAACACTCGGCTTTGAAGTATCACAGGATGGGTCTCGGGTATGGTTTGAGGATAATGAATAATTCCATAAAACACGGTCCTCACCCCATGGTGATGCTTGTGAAAGGAGGACAAAAAGAATATGAGTGGGTCTCGGACCGTGGACAAGCCCTGAAGAAGTGCGGTGACACCTCAGAGCGATGGGTGACCCGGGGCCGGGGCAGAGCGGGCTTGCACAGCGGAGGTGGGCTTGGCGGGGCCTCTGGGTCACTCCTCTCCCCAAGCCCAGGCAGGAAAGTTCTCATTTTTGCTGGTCGGAGAATCATTTACTTTTCTGTTTGCTCATTTGCAAAATGCAGTTTAAGATTCTAGATATCCCACAATGGCGCTGTAAGGATGGAACTGCAAAGTGAGTAAAAATGTAGCTTTTCCACTGTGGGGTGTGATTGGCACAAGTAACAGCACTGGGTACCGATTTGGCAAGTGAGCCGATGGGCTCGAAGGCGCGAGCACGGGGTATGCAAAGCTCCGAGGGAAAAGGGACACAGTCTGGTGGCCGGTGGGCCTCTTCTTGCATCAGAGTGGCTCTCGTAACAGGTCGTCAGGGCAGTTTGGTGGCGGCCGAGTCCTAGGCTGTCACCAGGTGCCTGAAGAAGTCTCACTCCTCCTTTTATAGGTCCTGCATTCACAGGAAAACCTGCTGCCTCTGCTGCAGCCACACCTCAAAGAAGCAGAAAAATGGGCCTGCAGGGAGTTCAAGGTGGCTTTACCAGTGTCCCTGTTCCTTTCCAGGTACCAGGATCATCTACGACCGGAAGTTCCTGATGGAGTGTCGGAATTCACCTGTGACCAAAACACCCCCACGGGACCTGCCCACCATTCCGGGGGTCACCAGCCCTGTAAGCGATGAGCCCCCCACGGAAGCCAGCCAGAACCACCTGCAAAACAGCCCCGAAGAAAAGCCAGCAGGCGGTGAGTGGCTGGACGTGGCCAGGCTCTTGGGACAGAAATGTGTGTGGCCTGAGATATGTGTCCACTAGGGGGTATTCCAGGGAGGAAATGATGGTGACTGCCACACCTGTGGAGCAGCTCAGGATCCAGAGGGTCGAGGTAGGGATTGTGGGGGATGGTGGGGAGAACTTCCATCAGTACTGACTTTCCCCATGAACAGGGCCCAGGAACCCCAGGAAAGATGATTGGGCCTCATTATGTGATCTAGTCAGAAGGGGAGCTAGACTGAGATGAGAGAGGTTCCCCATAGCAACTTCCTACGTGTGCCTACATAATTGTCCCTAGGCAGCACCTGGTGTCTGCAACACTTGAAACACACACACGGTGTTCATGTGTAGGAGACAACTTTTCGAAGACATGGTGTCCTTGTCCGCTAAGAAATGACATGTCTAACAGGCTCAGAAAGGCACCCAGGATGTCTTCTGTCAGGGTGCTGGTCCACTAACAGATTCTTGATGAAAACGGGTAGAAACAATGCAACCAGTTGTTTCTGCAGGTTTGCCATGCGGTCGCTAAAGCCTTCTGGTTCCCCCAAGTAACCAGAGCAGCACCCCCAGCATAGGTGTGTGGGAGTGTAGTTTCTGTGGCCCTGTGCCTGGCTTGTTGGAGCATCTGAGCTCGCCCCCTGCAGGAGGAGACAGTGTAAGCATGTGCAGCAAACCGCCAGCCTGGAACCCGCTGACCCTTCACCCTGAAGGCAGCGCACCAGACCAGGCAGGAAGCAGCTGGGACCTTGGGTTGGGCTGGCTTTGCTGACAGCAGCAGAATCTATCTACCCAGGGCCTGCAGGACATGCTTCATAATTACCTTGGGAACCCCACAGCCCAAGACAGGAAGCGGTTGCCTTGCCTTGCAGACTTGGAGAGCAATAAACGGCAAGGAAGTGACGCAGAGAGCAACGGGGCTGGCACCAGGCAGTGGGGTTCCCTGCTGTGTGTTAAAGGATGGAGAGAAGGAGGGACAGATATACATGGGGGCACGGTGCCTCCCACCCCCACTTTTTGCTTCAAAGCCTGGAAGTTGAGGATGGAGGTACAACTCCTAAGTCACCACTGCCTGAAGGCTGTCCCTCGCCCCCACTTGCCTACCTTCTTCCCTCCCAGTTTCTGGAGCTGCCCTGGCCTGTACCAGATGCAGGGCCAGCCCAGCAGTGCCCGGCAGCAGCCTTATCCACAGTGATCCCTAGTAGTTTCGCACCGTTGCGATGGGGTGTGGTGGTGAGGAAGTGACGTCATTCTTCATTTTGCTGAACTGGATGTAAGAGGCCAAGGCTCCTGGCCTTGGATCCACATGTTTGTGTAAACAAAACGGGAAGAAGAGCCCAGTTGTTTCTCGGTGGGACCAGAGCAGGCACCTTACTATGCAGAGCCTTGGGCCTTGCCCAGGAGATACTGCATGAGGCGGTGGCATTAAAAAGAAAAACAACCTGTTGCAGCATGAATGACTTGGAATTTTTAGTGGAAAGGGGGTGAGGGCAGTGAGTGGCTGACTTACCCAAATAACTACGATTCCAGGCTATTCCTCGGGCAGTCAGATGTATTCCTCCTGGGTTATGGTACCATTTTCTTAACCAAAAGCTGGGACACGTGCTCAAAAAAGGTATATGCTTAAGGAAGGTATATGCTTTTCTTTTCTCTCCTTTTTTTAAAAGATTTTACTTATTTATTGTTAGAGAGGGGGAAGGGAGAGAGGAAGGGAGAGAAACATCGATGTAAGAGAAACATCAATCAGTTGCCTCTTGGACACACCCTGACCGGGGATCAAACCCACAACTCAGGCACGTGCCCTGACTGGGAATCAAATCTGCACCCTTTCTTTGCTTTGCGGGCTGATGCCCAATGCACTGAGCCACACAGGTCAGGGCTTAAGGAATATTTTTCTATGAAATTATGTTTATGTCAATTCTCAAGTAACCATTCATTCTTATTAAGAATAGTGAAAATTATGCAGAATTCAGGACTGTCACCTCTCCTGTGAGAGACTGCTCTTCCTTTGGGATTGGGGAAGAGGGCACAGCTGGACAGGGCACCTTCGGGCCTACGTTCCTGAGAATACCTAGTGTAGTCCCACCTTCTCTCCATTCTCCTTAGCAACGTGGACCTGGCCTCTGCTCTTCCTGTAGGAACACCAAACTGCAAAGCTAATCCTTCTCCCTGGCCTCTAAAATGTCAGTCCTAACAATGGCTCGCTGCTCACCTGACCTTCTGTCCTTTCTCTCCCCAGGTGACGAATCACAGTTTGAGATGGACATTTAAGGGACCAGCCACCAGATCGAGCAATGCCTCTGGGCCCCTCTGGCTCTTCTCTCGAGAGAAGAGTCACACCAGCCAGTCATCATCCTGGGCAGGCATTGGGTATGGGGTCGACCGCCCCAGTCCTCTGCCCCCTCAGTCAGGGCACCTGCTCCCCCTTCCTCTTGGCAAACACCAGCAGATACCTCTATGTGCCTCCACTCATGCGGGAGCTGGCACCCCAAGGGGAGTGACTCTTGAGCACACACCCTGCAGCCTGGGGCCAGGAAGCGGACTTGGAAGAGCCATTCTGGATGATCACGGCTCTTCCTCTGAAGGCATACCCACCCCTTCCTTACATTACTGTGCCTGGGAAACTTCCCCTCCCCCTGCTTCCCCAAGAGAGGAAATAAAAGCCACCTTCGCCCCAGGGCCAAGAGTTGGCCCCTGTCTGAGGTCTTTTCAGCTCCACATGGATAACTAACACCAACTGCTATGTGCACAGCGCACGTAACGCACTTTCCTAGATAGCATCTCATTCAAGTCTCATGCCGATCCAGTGACCTAAGGAGGGCAAGTGTCATCCTCATTTTATAGCTCAGAAGTTACAGTCGCACACTAGAAATCAGAGATGGGGTGGGACTGACTAGGTGTGGACCGTGCCACTCTTCACCTCTAGTTTTCCAGTGGTGGGTGCCACCTCTTTTCTGGGCTTCACTTCCTCAAGCCTGGCAGGTGACCTCTGTGCTCCATTCCCCTCAGAAGTCAAAGGGAAGAGCCTGAGCCTTGGCCAACGTAGAGGCTCTTTGATCCATGTGCCCCTGATGTTTGTCAATGGGTCCCTCTGTGGGCTGTCATGAGGGACACAAATGTGGGACAAGCTCTCTTCCTTGACCATTTCATTGAAACACATGATTTACCCATAAGAAAAGTCACAGAAAAGAGATTACAGACGATTGGTCACCAGCAAGTAGTCTATACAAAAGGAGGTGACACTCCAGCCGGGGCCTGAGAATGAGTGGGCTGGGGAGAGGCAGAGGCCCAGTGTTGCCGGGGTCAGGTGGTCTTGCGCGTCAGGGTTTACAGGACAGGACATCAAGTTGCTTGTTTCAGCCAGAGCAAGCAATTTATGTGGTTGGAGACGGCTTTTATAAACAGGCAAAAAGGCCACATCTCAAAGGTCCTCGGATGCCAAGCAAACATGGAGGAGCCCTTCTGAACAATCATCTGGCTCTGTGAGCACTTTCCTATACATTATCTCATCCAGTTCTCATGCTGATGCTGTGACACAACTAGGGCAAGTGTTATCCTCATCTTCCACCCCAGAAGATCAGCTCAGAAGTCAAAATTGCACACCAGTAATGAGAGACGGGACTGGGTTTGAACTGGGTCTTGTTGAGAGACAAGGTATAGTTCTTATCACAGAATGTGCTCAGGATGGATGGCCTTTGGCAGTGGCTGATGTGAACTTCACAAGCTCTGGGCTCATAGCGCTTGTCAATCTGCTGTCTGGGGAGCAGTGGGCCTTAGCGGCCTTTTCTATAGCTAAGTTGGAGTCACCTCCCCTGTGGAGGCAGCTGGAATCCATGTGCCTGATGATGGCGTGGGGAAGGACCCGGCCACAGTAGCATGTTCACTAGGCACACAGCATACCCGTTTGGTGTAAAAAGAAAGAGTATGGAGGGGCCACCACCAGGGCAAAGACAATAACAACTAAAGTTCCAACTAGAGATGGGATCACCCTCCCCAGTCCCTTAGTTTTCCACTGAAAACATCTTACTCCTCCCCTGACATCCAACCTGAGGTTTTGCTCACAAGTCTATGTGGTCAGATCATTCCTCTTCTAGGATCTATATTTCAGGGTCCAAGAGATGGGGGAAATCAGCTTCTCTGACAAAATTGTTCACAAGTTGTGTACCTTTCCCACTGAACAAAAATATCCTCCAGAAAACCTAGGTATTTCTTGCACATCATTCTGGCTGGATGCTGTGGAATAGCAAAGATCTATGACACAGCCCTTGTCCTCAAGGAAGAGAAAACGATCTTGAGGGGAATAAGTCTCCTGTGGTCCAATTTAACTCCACTGTATGGAGTCCTAAAGCTTTTGTAGAGCAAACTCTAGGAAACCGTCACAGCTTGGCCTCCTCATGCCCTGGCATCCAACTCTGGTTTTCCCAACTGCAAAAAACAACTGTGGGACCAGCCCACATGCTGTGAACCAGGAAATTCAAAGGAGTGTTTTAAGCTGTGATATGCATTTCCAAGATGCTTACAACCTGATCTGGAAGAGAGAGGCTCTATGAATAGCAAAAGGACACCTGGAAATGTCATAAAACAATATGTGATTGTCTGAGGCTTGGAGGCTGCACTGATGCCATGAGTTAAGGGAATCAGAATTCTTCACAAAGGAAGAGGAACTTGACAGGACCGGAAGGATTTTAATTTGGGGAGTGCCTTCCTGGATCATGAATGGCCGGAGGTACAGAGAGTGGGAGAGCAGTTCAGCTGGAAGCATGTCGAAGCCGTTGGGTTTTCCACACATGAATGAGGAGGCTGAACCAGGTCGATGGAAATGGAAACAGGCTAGTTGGGAGGGAGGCCTGACTGTACTTGGTGAGACTGAAGGAGAGAAGTGTTACAGAGATTTCTGGTCTGGGTGACTCAGAAGACAGATCAGAAAGAAATGCCAGTTCAGGAGCTGCACAAAGTAAACAGTGAGAAGGCCACCAACAAACTTTGGGAACTGTTCCCAGTGAGCAGGAGTGGCATACAGGGGCCTGAAGTGCCAGTGATTTTCCAACCCCCACGCTGCTGTTGGCACAGCTGTGGGCATCTCTCCAGCTCTCAGGGAGTCACATGAGGTATGGATGGAGGCCATGTTCATACTGGCACCCTTTAGTGTGACATCCATCACTGCTGAAACAACTCAAGGAAAGCCCAAGAACGCATGGCCAACCAAGAAATCCCGAGGTCTGAAAACCAGTATTTCAGGAAGAGCTGGGTTCACTAAGAGACCCAGCAAGTGGTCTTTTTCAGCTAAATCCGACCTCATTCTGACTTGACAAGCCATTGCTAAGCCTCTTATCCATGCCCAGCATGATGCTAGATCTTGAGGCAATACAAGAGAATTTCAAGACAAACACCTGAGAAAAAAACTAATCCCAGGAAGTATGATTAATTGCAAATAAGAAGAGTGTGACTGGTCAGCAGGACAGGAGCAGCTGAAGAGTGCAGTGTGAAGGGAAAACTACCTGAACAAAGGTGTGGTGTCTGGAATGAATATAGCGTGTGTAGGGATACTAGGTGAGGCTGAAGTGTGTTGGGTAGCACAAGGTAAATTTAAGTAGCATAGGATTAGATTGCTGAGACAAATAAAAAACAAACAAACAAACACTGATTGAATGAATGCCTTCTGCATTCCAGAGCTTTACTGCACTCTTCTTTTTTTTTCAGATTTTTAAAATTTATTTTTAGAGTGGGGAAAGGAGAAAGAAAGAGATGGAGAGAAACATCAATGTGCAATTGCCTCTTGTGTGACCCCCACCGGGGACCTGGCCTGCAACCCAGGCATGTGCCCTGACTGGGGATCGAACTGGCGAACCTTTGGTTCACAGGCCAGCACTCAGTCCCCTGAGCCACACCAGCCAGGGTTTTACTGCTGTCTTATTTATGGTCTACATTGATGCAGACACCGGCCTGCAGTGTCCGACTCATTATGGATGAAACCAGATATTCACATGGACTACCGAGTCCGGTGGAGGAAAAAGGACGGCATGGCTTTTCTCTCAAGGGGAGCAAAAGCCTTGGCCCTTGCCATGACTGGCCTTTATTGGGTTTCTCAGCACATTGCATGATGGTCCTCATTTACTATGCATAGTTTCGCTTTAAGTGGTTACCTTTTACCAAAAACAAAGGAACCAATGCCACTAATCACATCACAGAAGAGGGATATTTGCAAATGAAAAGGCAAAGGTGGTCAAACCGGCTACACTCATCCTTGGAAAGTTTAGCATGGATTTTAGGAAGCTACAGTAAGTACTTGCTGTCTCAATTCAGGATGAGGGAGTTTTTAGCAAAAAGCAAGACTCAAAGCAGCCTAGGTACTTAGCAGACCTGATTCCCCACGGGAGAGGCTACCCGTGGGCTTGGGTCCTGTGCATCTCCGAGTAGAAGCTAGGCCCACGCCACGCAGAATGGTCTCCTACACTACATTGCTTAAAAGCAGGTGTTTGTATTCCCATTTTATACTTGTCCATGGCTAGCACATATCAGAATTAGGATTCCAGCTTTTATTTGTCCATCACCAAAATCCATGCTCTTTATACCCCATTGGTGGGAACCGAGGTCTGGGCTGTATAGATTCTGAGCTGTAGGCAAGTAGAATGTTGGTTGGAGGTAATAGAACAAGTCAGTAACAGACTGGGGTTAAGGTAAATCAGGTGAAAGGAACTAGAGTCATTCGGATGTTCAGTGGGTTGCTTAGACTTAAAGTGGGGGGACAAAGGAGTGAAATAAGATGGATAGCATTTTCTCATTTCTGAAGGACTATTTATTGAGTGCCTACTGTGTGCCTAGGTGCAGGCGCTGTTTTAAGCACTAGAGAGAGCAGTGGGCAAAGCTAAGCCTTCCAGAAGCTGATGTAACATACCTTTAAGGATTAAAGCCACGTGTGAGTCTTGTTTTGTACATGCAGCTTTCATTGGTGAAATCAGAAACCTGGCCTCCTCAAAATAAGGTTCAGAATTTAGCATGGCCAACCCTCCCTGCCCCTGCTGAGCAGAGGACACGTGCTCCTTGCTGTGGGGACAATTAATCCTGCATGGAAGAGCCAGCACCCCAGTGACAAGCAGCAGACACCTCAGTTTCTGTAAACAACTTGAGCAAAGCCTCCTCATCTGCAGCAGATTAAATAAGCATGAGAAGGAAAGGAAATGCAGGTTCACTAGGGAAAAGTGTAACCCATGAACATTAGGTTTTCTTGAATGAGAGTGACTTGAAAGTATCCTGCAGGGACAGTGGGAGAGGAAGCCCCATTGCCGAAGTGGAGGGGAATCTCTCCTTCCTGCAAGGGTTCAGAGGCCACAGCACAGGAAAGCAGATTTTGGCCTTCGTTTGTTCCTTACTCTTAAGTCCTCAAGAGGAATGAGGGTTGTTCAGCTTCCAGTTACAATACTCAACATAGTGCTGCCTCCTGCTGGAAGCGTTGGTTAAAAAAAAGAAGGAAGCTTACCCCTCAGAAGCAGTTGTTCCGTTCCATTCCTCTAGGCGAAGAAGCAAAGTGAAGGGTGCCACGTGCATTCGAGACCTGAGCACTCATCTCTGCATTGTCTCAAGATCATGCAGCTGGACCCTCATTCTCTGAGAACACTGAAGGAGTTTTCCAGATAGGGTGACCAGAGACGTATTGCTGGCAGAACCAGAGTAGAGGAGAACATGC